AGTAGTAGTAGTAGTAGTAGTAGCAGTAGTAGTAGTAGTAGTAGTAGTAGTAGTAGTGGTAGTAGTAGTAGTAGTAGTAGTAATAATGGGCGCCTCTTCTCGGCGCCCGCCGCCGCCGCGTCGTCGCCGCCAGGCGCGGCGGCGCCGCCGCCGAAGAGGTCGCAGCCTGCGTCCGCCGCGGGCGCCGCGCCGTGCTCCTCCAGGAAAGGCAGCACCGGCGTCCTCGAGGCGCGGACGGGGCGAGGACTACGTCGGGCGTGTCCCCCTAGAGAGGGATTCTCGACGAGAAATAAAAAATACCCCCCAAATATCTAAAAAGGTCAAACAATTCCCCCAAAATAGTCCCCAGACCACTCTTTGACTATGTTTAAACTATTGTTGGGGTATTTTTTAATTTTTCGTGTCCCCCTGTAGGGGGACAGGCCCGACTGAAGGCGAGGACGAACTCGGGTGGGGGATGCATGGGTCGCTCCAGCACCGCAGCACTGCCAGAGGCCTCAAGATTCGTGATGACACCCCCTCGGGCCTGTGGGCCGCAGCCCCTGACCCAGATCGCAGAGGGAAGCAAGCCTCTGATGGCCACTCCCCGCCGCCTCCGCGAGCCGGCGACCTCTGCGGCCTGGGGCGGGCAAGCCGTTCCAGAAACGGCCTCGCCTTCCATGGAGGCAGCACCGGCCTTCTCGAGGCGAGGGCAGGACGAGGAGAAATCCGGATGGGGATAGCGTGAGTTCAAGGATCCCAGATCAGATCACGACAGGAGGTCTTGGACAACTTTCAGCCCCCGGGGGCCCTCGCCAGGGCCCTGAGGAGGAGGAGGAGGAGGAGGAGGAGGAGGAGGAGGTGGGACCGTCAAAGAACGACCCGGGATGAAAAAACCGGTCCCGGGAATTGGGTCGAGACCTCTGGGGGTCCACGTCGTGAAAAAGTCATGACTTCGCGGGCCTGGTATTGCTCAAAGAGAAGATGGGGCCAAGAGGGCCCAAGAGGCGCCCAAGACGCTCCCAAAGAGGCCTCGAAACTGCCCCCCCCCCCCCCCGAGGCTCCCGAGAGACCTCCGAGGAGACCCCAAGAAGTATTTATGAGGGCTCTGACCCACAACCCAGGCACGGTGGCGAGATGGGCCGGAGACACGATAGCGAGATGAGAAAGATTCAGGGCCATTGCAACCAGATTGCATGGCCACTGAACCAGATGAGGCCGGATTGAGCCCATAATTTCCCAATCAGTGCCTGTACTCAGGGGGTCCTAGCGGAGATTGAAAGATTTGGCGAAAACGCCGGGCCGATTTCGGTAGGCGGCCAAATTCCCGGGTTCCCGGTTCCGGGTTCCCGGGTTCCCGGTTCCGGGTTCCCGATTCCAGGTACTGGGCCGATTTCGGTGGACGGCGAGGTTCCCCGGTTCCCAGGTTCCTGGTCGATCTTCTCATCGATCGGTCTCACCATCGATCTCATTACCCACCTCTTTATCGATCTTACAATCGATCTCACGATTGAGTTCACGATGGATCTTACAATCGATCTCACTATAGATCAAACGAGCGATCTCACGATCGATCTCACTATCGATTTCGTTGGATCGACCGCACTGTCGGTCTCAATATCGACCTCAAAATCGTCCTCACTATCGGTTCCACAATCGATCTCACAATCGATCTCAATATGCATATCACTAATTTTCAGACCATCTGCTGATTAAACAGGACTGAGCCGGACTCAACGGGATCGAGCAAGACTGCACGGGACTCAAGGCATCTGCCAGCGCCGATTCTAAATTTGTTCTCCCAGGAGTTGCACGCTGAGATTAAGACGGGCGTGTCCCCCATCAGGCGGATTTTCGACGGAAAAATTGGAATACTCAAAACAAACACCAACAACTAATCAAAACAACTATACAAAACAAATAGTCCCCAAAACTCGTTTTACCATTTTGGAATACTCCTCCTGTAGAGGGGCAGGCCGGACTTAACGCTAAGATGCACAAGTCGTCCAGAAAGGGCCCGCCTTCGCCGACTGGAGCAAGGAGGAGGAGGAGGAGGAGGAGGAGAAGAAGGAGGAGGAGGAGGAGGAGGAGGAGGAGAGGAGGAGGAGGGAGGAGGAGGAGGAGGAGGAGAAGGCAGGAGCAGGAGGAGGCGGAGGAGGGAGGAGGAGGAGGAGGAGGAGGAGGAGGAGGAGGAGGAGGAGGAGGACGAGGGAGGAGGAGGAGGAGGGAGGAGGAGGGAGGAGGAGGAGGAGGAGGAGGAGGAGGGGGAGGAGGAGGAGGAGGAGGAGGGGAGGAGGAGGAGGGAAGGAGGAGGCGGAGGAAGGAGGAGGAGGAGGAGGAAGGAGGCGGAGGAAGGAGGAGGAGGAGGAGGGAGTAGAAGGGAGGAGAAGGGAGGAGAGGGAAACTCAGGGCATCGGAGCTCTGGGATCGTCAGGGGCTCTCGCTCGGCGTGCCGCGGCGGCGGCGCCCGCGACACGGCGTGGGCCCCGGGAGCGGCCAGCGTGCTGCTCCGCGGGGCGGGCGGCTGGCCAGAGCTCGGGCTCTCGGGTCTCAGCGTGTCGCGCCACCGCGCCGCGGGCCAGAGTCGAGGGGCAACGGGAGGGGGGGATAGGGACAGGGGGGGAAACATCGACCTGGAATGGGCGACACATCGCCGATAGATCGGCGATAGGCCTCCGATATTGTGGGATGACGATTAATAAAACAAAACAAAAACGGGAGAGAACGATTAACAAAAACAGTTGTCTGCGATTTCTGCACAAGTTTCTGACTGGAGGTGAACGATTCAAAACATAGTTTTCCAGCCCGCGGCCGGTTTGTTCTAATCGTCATCCCGGGCGCCGCCGCGTGAACACGACCCCAGGTCATTTATAAATCGTCATCCTCCATTAGGGGCAGGGGGGGAAACATCGACCTGGAATGGGCGATACATCGCCGATAGATCGGCGATAGGCCTCCGATAGTGAATCCGCAACTTCCTGGGCAAATTTGGGGCTATCAGGCCCCTATCGGCAATCAATGGGCGATTGGGGGTCGATGCATCCCCCCCTATGCCTATCCCCCCCTATCGCCTCCCCCGAAGAGTGGGCCGAGCGACGCACGCGCTGAGCGAGCGCCCCCGAGCGCAGCTCGGGATTACCTCTGGGGCCCGAGCCCCGACAGACGGCTCTCCTTTTTTTTTCTCTGCTCGGCAGACGGCTCAGGATGAGAAGCTGGCCCCGGGGAAGTTTGTTTTGCTTTTTTGTTTTCGTGATAATCGTAGTAATGCCTAAACGAGAATCGAGCGCGAGGCCATGGCAACGCCGCCGGCGCGCAGGGGACTGCGAGTGCAGCGGATCCGTGAGTACGGGGACGGCGAGAACAGCACACCTGCAGCATGCGCGAGCAGAGGGAGAAGAGCGAGGGGGGAGGGGGAGGGGGGGGAGGAGTTGGGGCAGTGCAAAGGGGGGTCACCACTAGGGGGGTCGCCACTTCCTCGAGGAAACGCCACTTCCTCGAGACTTCCTCGAGGAACTGGACCCCCCAGAGCCTCGAAAACGCAAAGAAACGTCCAAGAACATCCTCGACCCCTCGACCCTCCATCCTGGAACCTCGATTTCCAGGAGAAGCTGGCGACCCCCCCAGTGGTGACCCCCCTTGGCACTGCCTGAGGAGAGGAGAGAGGATAGCTGCACGGGCCCCGGGGAGGCAGGGCCCGGACCTCTGGGACCCCACGCTGCGACGAAGTCGCGGCGCCTGGGGTCTGCCAGAGCTCGCAGGGGGGCTTGGAAGACGCCTCGGGCGCCGCGGCCGTGTCAGAGAGCGGATTCCGGAACGCTCAGAGTGCGAAGAGCGCCATATGCTATCCTGTCGGCTATACGCAAGAGTGACCCTGGGTAAGAGTGACCTGTGGTGCGCGACGTTTTGGGGGGCCGCGGGGGGGCTAAACCTGGGCGCGCAAGCAGCTGCTACTGCTTCGTTTTCAGCCATCAGGGGACCCATCTGGGCCCGCACCAAAGGTCACTCCCGCGAAAGGTCACCCTTGCGTCTAGTCGATCCTGCTCCGCGACCAGGGGCGCCTGTCCCAGGGCGGCTGGAAAATGGGTTCCCCCGCCTGCCAACGGGAGGGCAGGAACTGCCCAACCGCCCTGGGACAGGCGCCCCCGATCGCGGCAGCATGGATGTGATGCCGCTCTTCGCCGGCTCCCGGAGTGTTCCGAAACGCTCTGGAGCGACTCACGGCCTCGCCCTGCACGCGTGCCCGAGGTCCTCACCGGGTGCAGGACGTCCCCGTCGAAGTAGCCGTGCACGAGGAGCCTCTTGGCCGAGGGGCGGGGAAGGCGTCTGGACCCAGGCGGCGCCGAGGGGGGTCACCGCTGAGGGGGTCGCCGCTGCCATAAGGAACGGGGCTCCCCAGGGCCTCCCAGAGCACCCCAGAGCCCCCCCAAACCGCTCGAGGTCGCGCAAGGACCTCCTCGAGCCTCGATGCTCGAGCATCGATCTTCAGGAGGAGCCAGCGACCCCCCCCGCCGTGTATGCGGTTTGGTGTGGCGCTCGGATATCTCCTCTCCCTCGGAAGACTCCGAACATGGGCAGGCGGCTCCTGCGCCCCCGCGGAGTACTTCAGACCCCCACGAACTCCCAGATCTGTTTACGCACGCTGAGGTCCTTCAGTTCAGCGACCTGGCCCTTGAGCGTCTCCATGGCGACTGGGGAGGGGAGGATTACTGAACTGATGGACTTCGGTGTCCTGGCATACCGAAATCTATCAGATCATGAATCCTCGCCACCAAAGTCGCCAGGGAGACGCTCAGAGGCCAGATCGCTGAGCTCAAGGATCTCAGGGGGCGCACTGTTGTCTCAAGACGGGATCGGCAACTGCTCCACCCGGTCCATACTGACAGCTGGGGCGGGGTGCATGTCCGCGCAGAGTCATCTCTACTCCGCCCACTCCGCCAGTCGTCGGTCATCTGGCGTCCAGCCCAGACCCCTGACGTCATGACTGTTCATAACGTCGACCCTCAGAGGTCTCGATCCACTCCCCTGGACCGGCTTTTTATCCTGAATCGTTTTTTGACGGTCCCGAAGGTCGGGAAAGGCCTCCATAGGCCGAAAATACGGAAAACAACAAAATTCGTCATGCTTTCTTCAGTGCCAGAGGGGGTCTGGGAATCCAGATCACAGGACACTGTTTTTGTCGCGGCGACGTCGTGGCGGCCCCCCTCGCGGGCATAGAGGCCTCCTAGATGGGTCCGAATAACTATGAAAAACTATATGGGGTCGGAGGACCGCGCCGCATCGACGATACATCGGCGATGCATCCGCGATGCATCGGCGACGTCGGCGATGCATCGGCGATGCCAGCGTGAAGAAAATCTGGCTCCGCATCGAGCCGCATCACTGGTGCATGGTCGATGCAAGAATGACCCCTAGACTTAAGTCGGGCACGTCCCTCTACAGGAGGAATATTCAAAACTAGTCACAATAGAAGAAGCGGGGCACGAATGTTCGACTATGCTATTCTTGCGCACGTTTGGGCAATTTCTAGTTCGCCCACCAAAATCCGCCTGTAGGAGGACACGCCCGACCTAACCCTAGGTAAGAATGACCTCTGGAGCGCGGCTTAGTTAACGAGAGACGCGGGGTGGCCAAACCTGGGCGTGCAAGCCGCTGCTACCGCTTCGCGTTCCGCGATCTGGGGACCCCTGTCTTGCCGTCGCTCGGACGTCCACTTCCCGTGCTTGTTTCGGTTTCGTGCGTGTTTTTGTTTGCATGTTGGTCCAGGATGGTCCTCGATGGTTCTCGCGGAGAAAAAACGCACACGCCCGAGCGATGTCAAGCTGTGGGTCCGCAGCAGAGGTCACTCCGGCGAAGGGTCACTCTTACGCCTCGTCGGCCCAGGTGGGAGCGGGGTCGGCGGCGCCTGCCTTGGGAGCGGGGGCAGGCGCAGTGCCCAGTGGGGGCATCAACGGACGAAGACCTGCTTCTCTTTTGTGCGCCGCGGCGCGGCAGAGGCGGCCCGCACCCGCGTCCCAGCAGCCCAGGCTGCGGTGCTGCGAAGCGCGTCCCGCACGTGGTGGAAGGGGGGAAGGCGAGAGGCGGCCGCGGAGGCAGGCGGAGGGAAAGGAGGGCGCACTCGCGCGGCGAGGCCGCGAGGGGGCGCGCGCTGCGGCCAGGCCGACAGTAGACAGAAACACTGTGCAGTGTCTTGCTCGCTTTTCTGTCCCCCCCCACTGGAAGCCCCCCGTTGTGCGCTGCCTCTCTGCGCTCCGCCTCCAGTCCCAGCGTCGACGATGCTTGTTTGATCTTGCACCGCGGGTAACCTTGGCCCCAAGAGCCCCCAGTAGGGGGCGAAGCGCGTAGCCTCATTTCTTTCTTCTGGAGACGCGACCCCCCCAAAATGGATCAGGCTTCTGACACGGCAGCGGGGCTTCTTCAACCCCGACCCCTTCTCGCTGTGAGAAATCACGGCCGGGAGTGGTCTGGCAAACTTCGGCTACCTGGGGTCCACACCGGGCCCAGAGTCAATCAAAAAACGATACAGAATCGAAGACCAGTCCTGGGAGGGGCCCAGATCTCTGGGGGCCCACGTTGCGAGAAAAAAGCACGACGTCGGAGCTCCGGGGAAGTCCGAGGCTGAGGCCTCATGCGGCCTCTTACCCCAGCGTGCCTTTCCGAGCCCGTTCGGCGTCGGAGCCTTCTCGGTCGCCGAGTGGGCAGTCGAACGGGGGCTCGACGCCCACGACCGGGTGAATGGGAGCCTGGCCCTCTTGTCAGCCGAGTGGGCTCGGGCGCAGGCTGTGCTCGAAAAGTAGCCCATGGGTATTGGAAGATAGGAAGGATTAGATGTGTATTGTTTTAAAGCTTATCTTTAGGACTTATTTTTTGAAGATCGATGAGATTCTGAAACCCCGCCTGCATTGCCAAAGCTCCGCCGTCGTGCCTCTTTCAGAACGTGGGCCCCTGGATGTCTGGACCCGTTTGCCAGGACCTTAGGTTCTAAACAACACTGGGGGCGTTTTGCCTTCTGTTTTCAAGATCGACGACTTTTTGTATGTTTAGGGGCAAGTTGTTCCTCCGTTTTGGGAGTGCCGCCTCGCCGTTTTCTATTCATGTTGCGATCCGTTTTCTAACTGTTTTTAACTCATTCGTTTTCCTGTTTCCCGTGTCTGCCAATTATTTTCTGTTTTGGGTTATAGTTGTTGTCTGTTTTGTATTACCATGTTTCGCTCGTTTTGGGCCATGCTGGTGTCGTGTGTGTTCTGCTTTGGGTTGTCTTTTCACAATTTCTTTCGGTCGACCGCAACACGACAAGTTGAAAACGGGGAAACACGCCCCCCCGCTGTTTCGAGAACAATTAAGCCCAGGACAAGTTTCACACCCTGCGTCGTTTTCTGACCTCCCGGGGCCCGGTGAGAACCTCCAGGGGCTGAAGACTGCCCAAAAATTCCTCCGTCGTGTCTGTCTTGTTGCAGCGCGAGGGAGGCGGCGGGGCATTCTCTGAAAAGCCCCCTGCCGTCTCGGGCATCTTCTGACCCAGGTCAATTCAGACCCAGGTCAGGATCCCGCAGGATCCTGCAGGGTGGGCGCGACCCTTGGCTCCTCCTCCTCCTCCTCCTCCTCCTCTCCCTCCTCCTCCTCCTCCTCCTGCTGCTCCTCCTCCTCCTCCTCCTCCTCCTCCTCCTTCTCCTCCTCTCCTCCTCCTCCTCCTCCCCTACCCCCCTCCTCCTCCTCCTCCTCCTCCTCTCCTCCTCTCCTCCTCTTCCTCCTCACCTCCTCCTCCTCCCCCTCCTCCTCCTCCTCCTCTTCTCCTTCCTCCTCCAGCTCCTCCTCCTCCTCCTCCTCCTCCTCCTCCTTCTCCTCCTCCTCCAGCTCCTCCTCCAGCTCCTCCTCCTCCTGCACCTAAGCCCGGGTCAGTGCGCACCTGGCCCTGCAGGATCTGGCTGACCCCCGTTTGCATTGATCCCCGTCTCTTGATCCCTGCCGCCTCTCGAGAAGCAAACGCCAACATCCACAAAACCTGCCGGAGACCCGCGCGGATTCCTGGGCGCCGCGCCGGGCCCGGAGGGCCCGGCGCCGACCCGAGATACTCGCGCGAAAGCCTCCGAACGTTGATGCTGACGGTCGGGAGCTTTTGGACAGCGCGTCGCCGCGGCGCACTGGCGACACGCAGTGCAAGCGGATAGCGTGTCGCTCCACTCCGCGGGGCGGGAGGGTCGGAAAGGCGAGGGGCGTTGAAGCCTGGGGGCCGGGGAAGTGGATCGCGTGCTGCGCCGAAGCGTGTTGGCCAGAATCAGCGGAGCGGCACGCTGTCCACAAGCTCCCGGCCGCATGTCAGAGTGAGGGGAGCAAACGGTCAGAGTGGGGGGGTGCGTGGTAGAAGTGGGGTTCCGCGGCGCAGAGTGTTGTTGCGCTGTTGTTTGTGGTTGTTTGTTGCTGTTGTCGGCGACCCGCCTGCAACCCACCCCGAGCCCGCCCCCTCACTCTTTTCCACGAATGCGGGGTGCTACATCGTTTCCCTTTGATTCGGTTCGCTGGGGATCCCCCCGTGGCTCCCCCTCGTGTTGCGGCGGGGAGCCTGTCGCCCTCCAGCTCGGCCTGCACGGCCACCCGCAGCTTCGGCCCTGGAAGAGGGAGGAGCCCGGGGGGGAGGAGGAGCAGGAGGACAAGATAGAGGAGGGGGAGGAGGAGGAGGGGGAGGAGGAGGAGGAGGAGGAGGAGGAGGAGGAGGAGGAGGAGGAGGAGGAGGAAGGAGGAGGAGGGGGAGGGGGAGGGGGAGGGGGAGGAGGAGGAGGAGAGCAGGAGGACAAGATAGAGGAGGAGGAGGAGGAGGAGGAGGAGGAGGAGGAGGAGGAGAGGAGGAGGAGGAGGAAGGGAGGAGGAGGAGCAGGAGGAGGAGGAGGAGGAGGAGGAGGAGGAGGAGGAGGACACGGGGCGACGGCGCCCTCCCGCGCCCGTCGCGGCCGTGATGCATCGAGGGGGGGGCCCTGGGCGCCCGGCCGCCTGACGAGGTGGGCGGCCTGGGGGAGAGGACGGGGAGCCTGAGGTCCAGGCTCTCGCTCGGCCTCAGGTCGGGGAACGAAACATGGCATGCACATAAAATCTTCGAGGTCCGCGCGGATTTCTCGGATTCGCGCGGAGCGCGCCAGGGGCGGCGCCGGAGGCGCCGCCAGGGGGGCCCAACGCGGATCCGAGGAATCCGCGCGGACCTCCGAGTTTTTATGGATATGCCAGTTTTCGGCCCCCGACCTGGGTCCCCCACGGATCGGCGCGGCTCGAGAGATGCAGCAGGAAGATGGGGTCTGGGGTTCCGTGCGCGAATTTCAGCTGTGCTGCCGTTTTGTTCGAGACTTCGGATCTCAGGGGGCCAGCAGCAGGAGGAGTAACACAACATACGAAGGAGAAACAGCCAGACGCGCGGCTTTCTTGGATCGGCGCTGGACCCCCCTGGCGGCGCCTGCGCTGGACCCCCCTGGCGGCGCCGATCCAAGAACTCCGCACGGACCTCTGAAAGTGATGTACGTTTTTTTTTTACCGTGTCTCCACCTTCGAGAAAAACAGCCGTGTCTCGACTGCCTCTTCTTCAATGAGAGAATCAACAGGAGAAGGATCGGCCACACGCCAGAGTGACCCTTGCGACCTGGGGCCCCCAGCAAGCGCGCACCAAAGGTCACTCTGGCAACATGTCAGTCGTTACTGTGGAGAACTCCTGCATTGCATAATCACGCTTGGGAATGGGGACGTGGATAGCGTGTCGCGCCGAAGCGCGGTTGGCCAGAACCAGCGGACCAGCGGAGAGACACGCTAATCGGAGCAGGGCCGTTTGAGACAATGAGAATTCTACATTGAACCCCGGACCCCTCTGGGGGTCCAAACGCACCAGTTTCCTATGCTGCGTGCATTCGTGGCGACGAGGGCCCCCCCCCGAAGGCCAACTACCCATGTCTCCAACAGCCCTCCTCTGAGCTACGCCGCAGTCCTCCTCCTCCTCCTCCTCCTCCTCCTTCCTCCCCTCCTCCTCCTCCTCCCCTCCTCCTCCACCTTCCTCCTCCCTCCTCCTCCTCTCCTCCTCCTCCCCTCCTGCCTCCTCCTCCCTCCCTCCTCCTCATCTCCTATCCTCCTCCTCCTCCTCCTCCTCCTCCTCTTCCTCCTCCTACAGGAGATCCCGCCTAGCTGGTAGATCCCCGGCTTCTCGCGGGCGATCCGCAGGCCCTCGAACTTGCTGCCGGCGATGCCCGCGTGCAGCCGGTGGCAGACCACGGGCCCCTCTTGTGCGCCGCCGTCCTTCAGCGCCTGCGTGCCGCCCCCTCCCTGGCCTACCCTGACGTCCTCGCGTTAAGAACAACACGCGACGGAGGGTTCTTGCCAACTTTCGGCCACTGGGGGCCCTCACCGGGCCCCAGGACCGTCCACAAAACTACTCGGGTTGAAAAGCCCGTCCTGGGGAATGGCTCCTGGGGCTCTGTTTGCGAACCAGTCGCGGCTTCGGATACCTTGGCCACGGCCCGACCAGGCCCCAATCCGGCTAGCCCGGTCCATCCCAAGGCGCAGAGCGCCATGCTGATTCATACTCTGGGTTTCTTAATCAGCGTGGGGGAGTACCCCCCCCGACGGGGGTCAACCTCGCCTCGTCGTCGCGCCGCGACGGGGGTCGGAGCGCCTTCGGCGCGCTGTGACAGCCCGCCACGGGGGTCGATGTGGGGCTGTCGGCGGGGGTGACGCCCCCCCGACGCTTACTCAGACACTCGGAGTAGGGACAGGGACACCGGCATGCAGTCCTCGGGCTACCACAAGGAACGCTGGGCAAGGAACGAAGGGGCGCTCCTGGCCGCAGTGGGCCTCGGCCCCGATTAGGTGCCCCGACCTAAGTCTGCAGGAGGAGCTCGACCACAGGAAACCTCCCACAGGAAACCCAACCCTGAGACCCCAGGACGTCCATTGGTTTTTGGTATGGGAGCATCACGTTTTTGATCGCAAAATCATCGGGACCCAAGAAAGGCCAGGGCGCCCTGGAGGCAAGCAGGGTGTCTCTTGGCATGGGTTTCCACTGCAACGGGAGGCCCGACACCCAGCGCCCCTTTCCGAGCGCAAAGCGGCGTCCATCCCAGAGCGCTGAGCGCCCGCTGCTGCAGACGAGCGCGCTCCACTACGCGCAGAGTAGCCATTCCCAGATGGCCTGGATCCGCCGAGGGGGACCTGCGATCCACATCTAGGCAGACGCTTGCTTTTATTCGGACGCTTGCGAGTAGGCACTTTGCAAGTAATCAGTGGAACGCGCTCGGTGATGCTGGCTGATACGGGAAGCAAGATCAGCATCGGCGTCAACTTTCGTTCGTCTTCTGCTCGTATGCGTGATCGCAGCGCGGAGGAGGGATACCATCACCCCGCAGGGCGTGGGCGTGGAGGCACAGCCACAACTAAAAACCTTCCGAGGCTGGCGCGGGCTCTTCGTGGAGCTGCGCTGGGCCCCCTCCCCGGCGCGCGGAGCGCGCCCTAGATCGGGGATGGACAGACCTCCCTTTAGCAAAACGTGGCTTAGTGAAAACGACCTCGGGCCCAAACCTGGCGGGCGCAAGCCTGGAAAATAGCGGCCACGGCGCCCTCTCGAGAACCGAAGACGGACAATTCACTAATCGACGTGTCACTGTTGGGGGTTCTGTCCACCCCCGACTAGAGCGCACCCGGGGGCGGCGCTGGAGCTGCCGCCAAGGGGGGCCCCACGTCGACCGGAGGAACCCGCGCGGACCTTTGAAAGCGTTACAGTCGGACCTGTGCCAAAAGGGCAGCGTTCAAGAACATGAGACCCTCCGCCGGCCAAACCAGAGAACGCTCGAGGGTACCCTCCTGGCCCAGGATGCACGAGATCATCCAACGAACACGAAGAACACGAGGGCACCCTCCACGAATCCCACCAGCCCTTTGGGCGTGAGTGGTTTAGAGAGCCCGCTCTGTTCTCAACCCCCTTCTTCCCCTTCGGGGAAGGGTTTACCCCTCCCCCTACCCCCTCCCCCTGGACCTGGACAGGGAGTCCGGGGTGGGGTCAGGGGGGCCTTTTTCGACTCCTGGGAGGGCCAAAAAACGACGACCCTCACGAGGATTCTGGCCCCGAGGGGGGGAGGGAGTTTGGCCCCTCTGCTCATCTTTGAAGCAGAAATCATTGATTTTACTAAGGTGTTGGCCCCATTTTGGCGTCCTGAGGGGGCCGCGCTCATCTTCCCTCGTAGCAAAATCATTGATTTTACGAAGGTTTTGGGTCAATTTGTTCTTTTCAGGGGGCAGCTCTCCTTTGCGCTTCTGCGGAGGTCGCAAGAGGCCCCAAGATGGACCCAAGAGGCTCCCAGGAGGCTCCCCAGAGGCCTCCCAGAGGCCCCCCAGAGGCCCTCAAGCGGTCCCAAGAGGCCCCCAAGAGCCTCCCCAGAGGCTCCCAAGAGGCCTCAAGAGGGCCCAAGAGGCTCCCAAGAGGCTCCCCACAGGCCCCCAAGAGGCCCCCAAGAGGCCCCAAGAGGCTCCAAGACGCCCCCAAGAGACCCCACGAGGAGCCCGAACGACTCACACCAGGACGAGGGGCCCGAACGACTCACACCACGAAGAGCCCGAACGACTCACACCACAAGGAGGGGCCCGAACGACTCACACCAGGACGAGGCGCCCGAACGACTCACACCACGAGGAGCCCGAACGACTCACACCACGACGAGGGCCCCGAACGACTCACACCACGAGGAGCCCGAACGAGTCACACCAGGAGGAGGGGCCCGAACGACTCACACCAGGACGAGGGGCCCGAACAACTCACACCACGAGAAGCCCGAACGACTCACACCAGGACGAAGAGCCCGAACGACTCACACCACGAAGAGCCCGAACGACTCACACCAGGAAGAAGGGCCCGAACGACTCACACCAGGACGAGAAACCCCAAACGACTCAAACCACGAGGAGCGCTTTCTCTCCCTCCTCCTCCGCCTCGTCCTTCTCCCGCTCCCACCACAAGGAGGATGTACAAGGAGGCGGGAGGAAGGAGGAACAGGGGAGATATGCGGGGCCAAGCGGACACACGCCTGAAAAACACGACTGTCGGCATGCTTCGCGAGAGTTGCTGCTGTGAGATGGGCTGGTGGGGATACGCGAAGCGTAAAGAATTGACCTCGATCTTATACCTAGGTCCGACTGTAACTCGTGCAGACTTTGATGAGCCTGTTTTCCACAATCACCACCACAAGTTGGAGGGGGGAGGAGGAGGAGGAGGAGGAGGAGGAGGAGGAGGAGGAGGAGGAGGACGAGGAGGAGGAGGAGGAGGAGGAGGAGGAGGAGGAGGAGGAGGACCCCCCTCTCCAACTTATGGTGGTGGTGGTGGTGGTGGAAGACACGCCCGTCAGACTCGATCCTTCGAGTTGAAAGCTTCATGGACCGCCCCAGCCCTGAGCGCTCCGCGGGCCCGCCGCACGAGCGGCCGGGTCGAGCACCGCCGTCCGAGCAGGGTCTGCTGGGCAGGGCGCCTCGAAGGCCGAGACGGCGCCGTCCTTGGGCGCCTCGTACTTCTCGGCGTACCTGAGCAGCGCCTTCAGCAGCTGCTTGCACAACTTTCTTCTCTCCCTGTGGTCGAAGCACTTGTTCCGCAGGCGCTTCTTAAACCAATTCTCTCGCGCCTCCGCGGCCGTTGTCCCGTCGGACGCTACCATGGGCGTCCCTGTGGCCATGTCCAGCGGCACTGCGCACGACGCGATCTCGGGGTGCTTCTGCAGGATGAACGCCTCCGCGTCCGGGTCCCCCCTCAGCGCCACCATCTTGACCATGGCCCTCTCCCAGGCGAGCTCTTCCTTCTCGTCTGGCTCCTCACCACCCGCAGTTGGCCCCTGGGAGGCTCAGGCTCCAGGAAACGAGTAGGCTGGACCCAGAGGGCATCTTCGAGCACCAGGGGCAATCTGAGAGGGCCAAGGCGCTCGGGGGGACGCACTGGAGACCACGCGGTGAGACAGACTTCACGTCGGCGGCGACGACAAAGACGAAGGCACTTTGGGCTAGACGCCAACTTAAGTAGGGGGACGAAAAAGTGCATAAACATAAAAGCTCGGACGTCCGCGCGGATTTCTCGGATCGGCGCTGGGGCCCCTTGGCGGCGCCTCCGGCGCCGCCCCTGGCGCGCTCCGCGCGCCAAGGAGCGGGGTCCAGCGCCGATCCCAAAAGTCCGCGCGGACCTCCGAGTTTTTATGCTTATGTCATTTATCGTTCCCCTACAACTTCTGTCCAGACAAAGTCCTCTTTCTCCATCTCCCCCTCCTCGTCCTAACCAGACCACGGAGGGGGGGCGGGAGGTGGTCTGGGCTTGGTTGAGGGTTCCCCTCGAGGGGGAGCCCCCCGAACCATTACTGGGTCTAGCCAGGCATCCCTCATCAAGAGCAATGGCAACACCAGCATACAGTGGGGGCCCATGCCAAGGAACACCCTGCTTGCCTCCAGGGTGCCCTGGGTATCTTGCGTTTCGATGGTTCTGCAATGGGAAGCGTGACGCTCCCACACCATAAATCAATAGACGTCCTGGGGTCTCAGGGTTGGGTTTCTCGTGGACTGGCCTTCACTGTCAACTTTCGGACGTCCGAGCGGATTTCTCGGATCGGCGCTGGATCCCCCCTGCACGGCGCGCGGAGCGCGCCATGACAACCAAGGGCGGCCCCAGAGGCGCCGCAAGGGTGTCTGGCGCCGATCGGACAAAACCAGCGCGAAGCCTCCATCCATTGCTGCTTACGCAGAGTTCTGTTGTTCGACTGCGGTCGGGAACTTTTGCCCAACGCGTCGTGGAGGTGGCCCTGGCCGGCACGCCATGCACTGCGAGCGGATAGCGTGTCGCTCCGCTCCGCGGGGCGGGAGGCTGGGAAAGACGCGGGACAGCGTGTCGCGCTGCAGCGTGGTGGGCCAGAGCTGGCGGCGCGACACTCTACTCCAAACTTCTCGACCGAAAGGAGGAGGACGAGCAGGAGGAGGAGGAGGAGGAGGAGGAGGAGAAGGAGAAGGACGAGCAGGAGGAGGGAGAAGAGCAGGAGGAGGGGGACGAGCAGGAGGAGGAGGAGGAAGAAGAGCAGGAGGAGGAGGAGGAGGAGGAGGAGAAGGAGGAGGAGGGAGGAGAAAGGAGGAGGAGGAGGAGGAGGAGGAGAAGAAGGAAGGGAGGAGGAGGAGAGGAGGAGAAGGAGGAGGAAACGGAGGAGGAGCATGAGAAGGGGAATAGGCGGAGAGGAGGGGGGGAGGGGGGGAGGAGGGAGGAGGAGGAGGGGGGAGGAGGAGGGAGGGAGGGAGGGAGGAGGAGGAGGAGGGGAGGAGGAGGAGGAGGAGGAGGAGAGGAGGAGGAGGAGAGAGGAGGAGGAGGAGAGGAGGAGGAGGAGGAGGCGGAGGAGGAGCAGGAGCAGGAGACGGAGAAGGAGGGTAGGAGCAGAAGACGGAGGGAGGAGGAGGAGGAGGAGGAGGGAGGAGAGGAGGAGGAGGAGAAAGAGGAGGAGGAGGAGGAGGAGGAGGGGAGGAGGAGGAGGAGGAGGAGGAGAGGAGGAGCAGCAAGTACGAGGATGGAGAGATGAGGATGAGGAGGAGGGAGGGGGAGGAGGAGGAGGAGGAGGAGAAGGAGGAGAGAGGAGGAGGAGGAGAGAGGAGGGAGGGAGGGAGGGAGGGAGGGAGAGGATGAGATGAGGATGAGGATGAGGAGGAGGGAGGAAGAGGAGGAGGAGGAGGACGAGGAGGACAAGGAGGAGGAAAAGGAGGAGGACGAGGATGAGGAGGCGAAGGCGCAGGCGGAGGGAAGGCGCGGAGGTGGAGTCGGGGGAAGCGTTCCCAGGGTCCTCCCCGCCCTCCTCCGCCATCGGCGCAGCCTGCGACCCAGGGCCCTGCGCGGCCGGGCAACGGCACCGCCGTGGCTGGCGCGCAAGCGGCGCCGCGCCGCGCCGCGCGCGGGGCGCGGGCGGCGCCGCGCGGCCGGGCGCCTGAGAGCCCAGCGTGCGGCGACGAGTGTTCTGCGTTACCCACGCTGGGGGGTTGGGGGAGGAGGAAGGGAGGAGGAAAGGGAAAAGGAGAAGGAGGAGGAGGCGGAAAGGGAGGAGAAAAGGGAGAGGGAGGAGGAGGAGGAGGACGGAGGAGGAGGAGGAGGGGAGGAGGAGGAGGAGGAGGAGGAGGAGGAGGAGGAGGAGAGGAGAGAGGAGAGGAGAAGGAGGAGGAGGAGAGGAGGAGAGGGGGGGAGGAGGAGGAGGAGGAGGAGCAGGAGCAGGAGAAGGAGGAGGAGGGGGAGGAGGAGGAGGAGGAGGAGGAGGAGGAGGGAGGAGGAGCAGGAGGGAGGAGGAGGAGGAGGAGGAAGAGCGGAGGAGGAGGAGGAGGAGGGCGGAGGGGAGGAGGAGGAGGGAGGAGGAGGAGGAGGAGGAGAGGAGGAGGAGAGAGGAGGAGGAGGAGGAGGAGGAGGAGGAGGAGGAGGAGGAGGAGGAGGAGAAGGAAGAGGAGGGAGGAGGACGGGAGGAGGAGGGATCGACACTCCCATCCAGTCGGGAGGGTGAAAGGGACGGGGAATGGGAGGAAGGGAGGAGGAGTCGGAGGAGGAGGCAACTCCTGGGAGTTCTCCGCGGGAACGACACAGAGCTACCAGGCCCAATGAAAGAGCTTCTGTGCCAGACGGAACATCAGCTCCACCGGGCTGAGAACGGAATTGGTCTGGATTCGCGCCGGCTTCGGCCTGCGCTGAGGTGTGCGATCTTGTGAGCTGGCCTTCCCTGCGACGCCACATGTAGGCCACTCGCCCTGCAAAAGTTAGCACAGCCATCATGCTAGCGCCGAGTAGGGAATCCGTGGGCTTCTCTGGCCACGGGGGGGCCTCGACCACGACTGCGATGGTTTTCGAGAAAAAACGCCTGTCTCTAATGCGTGTTGAAGCGGGCCTCCTCCTCCTCCTCCTCCTCCTCCTCCTCCTTCTCCTCCTCCTGCTCCTCCTTCCTCCTCCCTCCTCCCTCCTTCTTCCTCCTCCCTCCTCCCTCCTCCCTCCTCCCTCCTCCTCCTCCTCCTCCTCCTCCTCCTCCTCCTCCTCCTCCTGCTCCTCCTCTCTTCCTCCTCCTCCTCCTCCTCCTCCTCCTCCTCCTCCTCCTCCTCCTCCTCCTCCGCCTCCTCCCCCCTGCCCAAATGTCAAAGTTCGGAGTGGTCGACGCGGGGGAGCGCGAATCGTTTCGAAAAAAACGCCCACATCTGCAAACCGCGGCCTGCTCCCCTTGCGCCATCTTCTAGTCGTTGTTCCTGGGCGTTTTTTTCGAAAACGCCTGACGCCCGTGGGCTCCCCGACCGAGGTCTGAGGAGCGGCGCGAGAACCAAGGGCCCGCATGAGCCCAAAGTGGTCCTCCCCTCAGCGGCCTGACTGTCGGACCTTTCTGGTGTAAGCGGGTCACCACTCTCGCTTCAGACCTCTGCTTACCGTGTGCGAGTGGGTTAGCTGGAATATGTTACTAAGCGTATCCAGCAACACAGACACACACACACACACACACACACACACACACACACGTTTGGAGAGCGGCCCCTCCTTCCTGCGACATCTCTGCAGAGATACCGTTGGTCTTCGGCGGGGGGGGTAGGAGGGAACTTACCCTGCGAGCGGCCCTCCTTCTCCCCTCATCCTCCCGCCTCCATCGCCCCCCTCTCCTCCCCTACCGTCTCCATCTGCCCGAACTTTTCGGGCGTTGGCAGAACTGGGTTTAGTGGGACCTGGTTTAGTAATGTGCACTGGGGGACGCTCCCCCCGCCGCGTTCCACTAACCGGAACTGCCGCCACCCGAAAAAACACCAGCTACGGCAGGCCTGGTTCAGTGATTCTGGCCAAGTTAGGGGCTCCGGGGCCCTACTACTAACCGGGTCCCCTCATCTGGGGTCCTGGCAATACCCGAACTTTCTACGATCAACAACTTTTGCTCGGCTTGTCGCGGCGGCGGCCCCAGCGAGCTGCTATGCCTTTCGAGCGGACGGCGTGCCGCTCCGCTTCGCGGGGCGGGAGGCTCGGAACGGCTCGGAAGGTCGACGCTCGGAAATTGCGAAGTGGCCAGCGTCTGAGGGGCAACGATAGGGGGGGATGGGCATAGGGGGGGATGCATCGACCTGGAATCGGCGATACATCGTCGATAGATCGGCGATAGGCCCCCGATAGTGAATCCGAACCTTCCTGGGCAGGTTGGGGCTATCGGGCTCCTATCGGCGATCAATGGGCGAATGGGGGTCGATGCATCCCCCCCTATGCCTATCCCCGGCGCGCGACACGCTAACCAGAAGCCCCTGTTCGTACTCTCAGGTCGGGCGTGTCCCACTACAGGCGGATTTTGAACGAACAATAAGAATGTCAAAAAGTATGCAAACATAGCCACACATAGTCGAAAAATCGTCCCAGAGCACTTTTTAACTATTTCTGAATATCCCTCCTGTAGAGGGACGTGCCCGACTTGATCGTGCCCGCCTGCCCCAGCCCCAAGTCCACCGGCGCTCGTGGTGTTTGTGGCCACTGGCCGAAGCAACGCTCCCTGCTCGTTCTCCGATCGGCTGCCACGCGCGCTCTCCTCGACAGGCAGGCGATCGAATGCGAGACAAAGCGCGCCCGTCGAAGGCGAGAGGCTCCAGGGCGAGGAGCGCTGGACAGCACGACGCACAGAGGCGACGACGCGCGCAGAGAGAACACCGGCGCTTCGCCATGCACGGCGCGGCCGCTCGCGACGCACCGCGCGGCGCCACTGAGGTTGCAGCGGGAAGCCGCTCGTACGCCACACGCTGGGCAGACAGCTCGCGCTGGAGCACCCTGGCAGCAGCTGCCGCTCCGCCCCGCACCGTGCGCGGAGGCCTGGCCGCCCGCGGTGGCCGCCGCTTCACGGCGCTGGCCCGCAGGCGCTGGCCAGCGTGCTCGGGCTCGAGGTGCACGTGTCCGAGCTGGCCCCGCCGTCACAGACCACGGCAGACCCCGCCGGCCCGCACTGGCAGGGGAAGGAGTCGCTCCGCAGCCTCCCGTCCGTGCTGCTGCAGGGCGGCGGCCCACACGACCCCTGCCTGCCGGTGGCCCGGAGCACGGCGTCGCCGGTGTAGCACGTGTTGTGGGCGCCATCGCCGCTGCACGTCTCGGAGCTGGTTGCCGACCCGCACAGGCAGGGGAAGTAGTCGCTCTTGTCCAGGCCGTCCGCGCGGCTGCAGGCCGGCGGGCCGCAGATGCCCTCCTTGCCAGTGGTCAGGAGCACGTAGGAGCCCATGTAGCACGTATCCAGGAGACACTCGCTGCGACCGCGCATCCAACCCGCCGGTGCCCTCTCTGGCGCGGGAGCGAGGGGCACGGTGACCCCCCAATCGCCGACCAAAAAATTTGGGTACACCCTCGGGATATACCAGGGGGGGCGTTGATCGTCGATAGGCGTGCGTCCGAAGAGCCCCCTGAAGGTGTATCACTGACTCTCTCTTCTCTTCTGAGCGACCTGATTTCTCGGGGGCCACGCGGGAAGAGGGGGCGAAAAGTCACCTGTGACGAGGCCTGCGCGCAGACGGCACCTCTGGAGGTCGTCCCGTTCTGGCTCCGCTGGGCCTTTTCCCAGGAGAAGCGTGGCCTCAACGACCCAATCCTGGGAAAGGGGCCCAGACCTCCCAGGTGAGGGGGAGGATGTGGAGCGGAGGAGGACCAGTGCAAGCCCAAGACGCATCGACGATGCTGCACCAACCCCTCCCTCCAAATTCCCTCTTCATGTGTCCCTGCAAGAACTTGTTCTGATTGCCAGAAGTGCCCCATGGTAAGGCAACAGTCTGAGAATCCTCAGCCGGGCGAGAACACAGCCCCTGGGATTTCAACGCCGCGAATCAACGTGACTGTTAATTATTTTAAGGCAAACCCTGAATGGCGCCAGAACGCAATTCCTGAGGCTTCTGCACCGGTCGCCTACTGCGTCCTGACAATCCGAAATCGTGCCCGACCACCACTCCCTGGACTTCAACCATACAAATCCTCAAAACTACTGCAATGTCTGAGACGAATGCGCACGGTGGTGATGCGAGAGACACATGTTGAAGACCACTCTCCGCGGATTTCAAATATCATCTGGTGAAGGCCGCAAACATAGGCAATTGTGAATACCGCGTTGTGCATACCGCTATCGGTGGAGCTCTTTGGGGCCACGAGGCGCGTAGGAATGTGCTGACATTGGCGCGGTGGCGCCATGCGAACGTAGCCACTGGAGCCTTCGGCGTAGCTCCCTATTGGGGCCACGAAGCGTGTGAAGGTGAACAAGATGGAGAAACTCAGCGCACCCCTCCGCAGGCGCCAGGCACCCCAGAGACACGACCGCCAGAGGCGGCGCGGCTGAGGCTGCTTATGGGGGCCGCCGTCGCTTAGAGACCCGAGGCTCACAAATAAAGGGGTTGCGCATCTTTTATGATGTTCGGCCTCAGGAAGCCCGGCCCTCAAATGGGCCCCGGAACTGTCAAAAATTACCCTGAGTGACGAACCGGCCCCAAAGAGGTTGTCTAGACCTCCGAAAGCCCGCGTTTCGACAAAAATTGAAGCGTTGGATGGCTGGGCGCACGACCTGAAGGCTTGCCGCTCCTCCTCGTCCACCCTTCCCCCTATCCTCCTCCCCTGCCCCCACAACCCCCTTCTGAGGTAGGAAGGGAAAAGCTCCGAAACGGAAGGATCGGAACAGCTTGCGCAGTGGGGGTCTCAGGTATTGTCTGTGCTTTCGCCAGAACAAGTCACGGAGTGAAAAGGGTCCCCGCCGCACTGGCACGGGAAGCGGCCGTTGTTCTCGTCGCCGCTCAACGTCCTCACGACCGCATTTGTGCACGGCCGCCCGCCGCCTTCTGGCGTCATCGGGCGTGTCGCGACGGCCCAGGCCTTGCCTCCACGATTCCCCCCGAATGCCCCACTGGTGTCGTAAGTAAAGGCACGGCGAATACTACTGCGCCGCCGCGGCCCCCAAGGCTCTGGG